TCCTTCAGAGCGGGAATCCTGGGAGGTAAGCATCTGGAATGTGCTAGGAACAGCTAATCCCAGGTTTGTTCTTCCCTGCAGGAGAGGAGGAGCAGGGCAGGTGAGATGGGGCTGCAGGTGCTGGCTGCCTTCCCGAGCTGCTCAGCAGGAGCATGGGCTGCCCTCCCAGCGTGGCCACCGCACTGAGCAGGGCTCCTCCTCACCCTGACCCCTCTGCAGACCTTCTGCAGGGACCATGTCGTGCCTGCAGCCATCGCTGCTGGAGTCTGCACATCATCCTTTGTCCCCTTCTCCCTTGCAAGGGAACGTGCTCTCTGCCATACTGCTGCTGCCCTGTCACTGGACATGTCCCTGCTGTCACAGTCTGTGATGAAGCACCCTGCATCCCCAGTCTGTCCCTGGCTGAAGGCTGTTCTCAGCTGCTGCTCGGCAGGGTGAGAGATGGGGCGAGCAGGAGGTGAGACTTGCCAGCCCTCCCAAGCTCCTGGAGCTCCATTGTTACCCTATGACAAAAATCTCCTGGAGGAGCTGGGATGGACAGCAGTGGAGCTGGGATGGACAGCAGTGGAGCTGGGATGGACAGCAGTGGAGCTGGGATGGACAGCAGTGGAGCTGGGATGGACAGCAGTGGAGCTGGGATGGACAGCAGTGGAGCTGGGATGGACAGCAGTGGAGCTGGGATGGACAGCAGTGGAGCTGGGATGGACAGCAGTGGAGCTGGGATGGACAGCAGTGGAGCTGGGATGGACAGCAGTGGAGCTGGGATGGACAGCAGTGGAGCTGGGATGGACAGCAGTGGAGCTGGGATGGACAGCAGTGGAGCTGGGATGGACAGCAGTGGAGCTGGGATGGACAGCAGTGGAGCTGGGATGGACAGCAGTGGAGCTGGGATGGACAGCAGTGGAGCTGGGATGGACAGCAGTGGAGCTGGGATGGACAGCAGTGGAGCTGGGATGGACAGCAGTGGAGCTGGGATGGACAGCAGTGGAGCTGCAATGGGCAGCAGTGGAGCTGGGAGCCAGCCCCAGGAGCTCTGCACTGCTGTCTCCAGCTGTGCCCATGGCAGCCAGCAGTTGGGCGCACTGCTCACCACGCTGGGTAATTATAGCTCCGGTGTTTATATACCCTCAGCGGTGGCCACAGGAAGGAAGGAAGGCTGAAGGACACTCTACGTAACAGAGCTCTCCACCCCTTCCTCGCTCCCCCTCCCACCTGCACCCCCGCCCCCCGCCGTGTGAATTTGTGTGTGTGTGTGACAAGACACCACGGCCCAGCACTGTTTGTCAGAGCTGGTGACAGCCCACAGCTTCCCCTTTCTGTCACCCGTGGAACCCTGCTCTAGGCTCTCTGGGCACTCAGTCCCCCCTCTGCACGATTTGTAATCTCCTCCTGCATCCCTCAACCTGGCAGCTTCTTGATCCCACATCTTGACTGAGGACATGAAGGCTTGTCCCTGTCACCATGCACGGCTGAACCATGTGGGTCCTGCAGCCTGTGCCCATCTCCAGAGCTCTGGGTGCACTGAAGCACCCGGCCGTGGTGGGTCAGTGCTCTCCTCTTCACACAGATCAGCCGTGGCATCTCTGTGTCAATCCTGTCCCCCTGCAGCAGATGGCATCTCCAGGGCAATGCCGTGCTGCTTGCTGGGCCTGAGCAGGACCGAGCAGGGTGTGAGGGAGCTTCTGAGCCATGGGGCTGTCCATCCCTGCAGGGACAAGTGACCACTAGTCATCACTGCAGTGGGGTCCCAGGAAGCTGCCTGGAAGGCATCAGTGGTGCCACTGGAAGGAATTGCAGGGCTGAGGTGAGGAATGGAGGAGCAGAGCCCGTTACCCACCCACGGAGAAGCAGTGACCCGGCAAGGCTGGGCTGCAGGATTACCAGTGGGCTGGGCTGTGTCCCGCACCCAGCTGTGTCTGAGCCAGCACTTTCATGTTTGTTTGGGCTGTTAGATAACTTCGAAAGCAGAAGCTGGAAAGGCTGGCAGCTGAACAGTTTGTTCTTTCCGACTTCCACGCTGCTGCCTCAAACCTCAGTGCTGCGCAGGACTTAAACCACAAACCTGCTGTGCTGCTCAGAGCCACCCTGTCCCCTCATGCTCACCCCAAAGTGTCCCTGGAGCCCCTCCAGCCCAGAGCTGAGCTCTGCCTCTTCATGCTGCCAGAGGAGGAAACAGAGCAGTGGGAACATGTGTCTGGAGGGGTCTCAGCCCCACAGCCCTGGGCTGGCACAGGGCGAGGGGCTGCCACCTCCTCCTGGCCACAGCCCGGGCTCAGGGCAGCCCATGGCTCGGGCTCAGGCGCAGGGCAGCCCATGGCCACGGCCCACAACTCGGGCTCAGGCTCAGGGCAGCCCACAGCTCGGGCTCAGGCTCAGGGCAGCCCACAACTCGGGCTCAGGCTCAGGGCAGCCCACAGCTCGGGCTCAGGCTCAGGGCAGCCCATGCCCACAGCCCGGGCTCAGGGCAGCCCATGCCCACAGCCCGGGCTCAGGGCAGCCCACAGCCCACAGCCCGGGCGCAGGGCAGCCCATGGCTCGGGCTCAGGCTCAGGGCAGCCCATGGCCACAGCCCGGGCTCAGGGCAGCCCACGGGGCAGCACAGCACAGGTGGCTCCCAGCCACACCCTGCTCACAGCTGGGGAAGGAGCGAGGGTCACACAGCACCGCCGCCCGGCGCAGCCCGTATCAGCCCAACACGTATCCACTGGGAACTGGGGCAGGGAACAGGACGGGACAAGGCCACTGCCAGCCCCGCTCCAAGGAGTGTATCATAGGGCTGTGCCAAAGGGCAGCGATGGCAACTGGCTCCAGGTTACCTTTGAGCACCTGAGCCTCTGCAGGGACAGGCAGCCTCAGGTAAAAGGGATGGCTGGGGCTGCAGCTCTGAGGTGTCACCTCATCGGGGAGCAGGATGGTCCACACAGCCCCTGAGCCCAAGAGGGACCAGACCGCAGCATAGTGCTCTGCCTCACTTTCCTGGCCACCAGAAGTGAGGGCATGAGGCATACATTGCTCTGCTATGAGCAGAAAATCAGCAATGCTGAGAAAGCCTGCAATGGTGCCCTGCCCCTCTGCTCCTGCCAATGGTAGCGCTGGGAACAGACGCCTGGCTGTGCACACCGAGTTGCCACATTCCTTCAGGTTGCACAAAGTCCACCCCACAAAGGGAGACACCACTACTTGATCAAAGGGAAGGCCATTTTGCCACAGCTGCTCCCAATATCCCTCACTGGGTTGCATCACACCTCCCTTCCAGATGCTGGATCATCCCAACCAGTGATACAGAGTCCCAGTTCCCAGCAGCAACTGGGAGCTTCCAAGAAACTACAGGGACAAATGCATGGTTGGGCTGAGGCCAAATCACTAGCACAGGCTTTGCCTCTGTCCAAGAGAGTGTGGTGAGGGTCTGATCCTGTGTCTGAGGACCAGGAGACAGGCATAGGGTCATGGGGCCTGCTAAGACCCCTCTCCCCGTGCTGGAACATTGTGGATGCAATCCCCCCAGGCCAGGACTGAGCAGCAGGCATGTGCTGTGGCCCAGGCAGGAGCTGGCATGGGTGAGGTGGGGAAGGAAAGCAGTGCCATGGCTGCCCTGGAAGGAGAAGGAGACAGCAAAGCCAAGCAGTAGAGAGGACAGGCAAGAATGGAGCAAAAGTCAATTGGATGCAGAGAGAGGACAATGCTGCAGCTGGGTTCATCAGAGCTACCTCTGCTACTCCAGGCGTGCAGGTATGTTTGAGGTCAAGCAGAAGAGACTCCTGACATGGAGAGGACTTGGCTTGGCTGCTATCCATGATGGAGAGGGCCCAGCAAAGCTGTAGCCTGTCCTAAGCAAGCTGCTCCTGACCCAGAGAAATGGCCTTGCATGCCACAGGAGGGATGGGGTGTGCTGGGCTTGTACCAGATCCACTTGACTAGACTGTGATTTTTTACATAACTCTGTTTTCTGATTGTTTTCAGCACTTTCCAAGTAAAAGCCACAAACATCCATAGTCTGCATGCCTGGTTGCTATGAATGGGATGAAGGGCTTGGTTCCCCCACTCACTGCCCATTCCTGCAGTGAAACCCAGTGAGGCAGCAGCGATGCTCAGGTCAGACCCAGGGTACCAGCTAAGAGAGCAGGCTGTTCCCCCATTACTGCTACACAAGGAGCCTACCAACTATCCCACAGCTGGGACAGACCCAGGAAGGGGACAAGCACAGCCTGGCTCCCTTCACTCTGGTTGTTTCTCCCAGGCTTCCCCAGCCACATCCCTGCTCCCCATACCAGCAGCTGCTGGAAGCCCAGCAGCCCAAACCTGCAGTCAGTGGCACCAGCTATACCCAGTATTCCAGGACAAACCCCATCCTGCTAGGATGCAGGGGAATGATTCCTGGGGCCACAGGCAGCTGTCCACCACAGGCAGTGGCAGAGAGCATCCTGCTGCTGTAGGGAGGGGTCCCTCATCCCCACTGGGAGCTTGGAGGAGCGCAGTCCTTGGATGTGGCTCAGGAACACGGTTCCCACGCGATCAGCCCACGCAGGCAGCAGCACATTGCTCCTGCCTGCAGGAAACCTGGGAACGTGGCTGCCCAGGCTGGCTCCCTGCAAGCAGATGTTATTTTAACTCCCAGTTCCTCTCTCACTTTTGCCAGGCAACGACTGGTTCTGCTGTTGGCTAAGCAATAAAGAGCCCTTTTTTTTTTCTCCTTCACTATTTCTAGGTTATTTTTAGGCTTTTGTCAGTGGGTCTTTGCTGCAGACACTCAAAGAGCTGGAGAAGTTCTCCTGTTTCGCATGCCCAGAGGAAGGGGAGCAACGTGCAGGGCAGGAGGTGCCAGTAAGAAGGGCTTCCCAACCCCGATGGGGATGCCCACGCCTTGGAGCACCCACTGCCCTGTGCAGCACACAGGAGCAAGCTCCTCTTCTCCCACCCAGCTGTGCTGTGCAAGACTTGGCCTTCCACAAGGGAGCTGTGATGCCCACATCTTCCCAACTGTGCCAGCAGCAGCCTTCACCTCTCCAGAGCCCAACCAAGGCAGCTCCTCCACGTGGTGCCAGCAGGGAGATCCCTGTGCTGCTCCAGCTGCAGCCCACGGCAAGGTGAGGTGCAGAGGCATAGGGAGGGACTTCTGCAGAAGGGAAGTTAATGGGACAGGACGTGGGCTTAGGGACCCAGAGAGGGTCACACACAGCTGCAGCAGTGCAGGAACTGCCGGATGGAGCCAACAGAGCTGAAGTCAGCCAGTGTCACATTCAGGCTTGGGACAGAGACCAGGCCCCAGGAGGGGGAGAGAAGAGTGTTAGGGACACAGTGCCTGCCAGCATTGTGGAGTACCGGTGCCATGGCCAGAATCCCCCCACTGAGAGTACTGATGGGACTAATGCTGCCCTGTCCCCAAAAGAGAGGACATGCTATAGCACATCCCAAACCCCTTGTCATGTCAATGCTCAGGAGAAGGACAGCTTTTTGGGGAAACCTGTGTTTCCACCAGGCAGGGACATTCCAGTCTAAAGCTGGGATCCCCCCTCGCAAAGGCTGTTTTGTCCCCGGGGACAAAAGTACTCTCCACTTGGGGCAGGAGGTGTTACTTCGTGTGGCCCTACAGCTTGTTGTCTCCTGGAGAATTGCAAAACCCGGAGCTTCGCTGCAGCTCTAAGAAGCTCAGAAAGAGACAGAACCTGCTGGAAGGCAGACGCCCACGTCGGCGCCGGGCCAGCTCGAACCTTCCAGGCTGTTTGGCAGCCCCGCAGCTGCTTGGCAAGGACACTGCTGACCCTCCCACGTCACAGCCCCGAGCAGCCGGGGCCAGCTGTGTCCAGGCGCTGGGCTGGGCTTGCTGTTTTTCTGCTTTATCAGGATCTTGCTGAGCTCGGCGGTGAGTGGGTCATGTTTGTGCAGTGCCGGTTATGTAAGCGCTCAGGGTTGCCCCGGAGGCTCGGCCGGAGCCGGGGACAGCCGATCCCGCAGCCCTGCGCTCCGGGCAGTTGTGTCGCTGTCCCGGCTCGTTACGGAGGTGCCCGGCGTGTCCCTGAGCTGCCCGAGGCCCGGTGCCGTCAGGCTGCAGGCCAGGGGCCGGTGGCCGAGCCGCGCACCGGGGCAGCGCTGCAGCAGCCGCGGTCACCCCGCGCTGGCTCCCGGCGCTGCCAAGCGGCCGCGCCTGCTCCAGTAACCCAGCTCCTGAAGGTCGCTGGCTGGAGGCCGGGCTCGCGTTCCATCTGCCTGCTTTTATTATTGATTGTCCTTATCATCGCTTGAGAGAACAGCATGTCCCAAACAGCCGGGGGCAGGACTGGGCTCCCTGCCGCTGCTGCTGCCTTTTGCCCAAGCTCTGTCTCTCCCCAGTGGAGAGGTGCGGGCACCAAAAGCTGCGCTGCCGCTGTCACCTCTGCCCACATGCACAAGCCACGATGCCACGAGCTGCGGCCAAGAGACAGCAGTGTTCCTGCATCTGCTGCCATAAGTGCCTCTTCCTCTTGCCGCTGTCTCCATCCCAACCATCCCAAGCGCAGGTTCCCACACAGCAACAGATCCCTGCATCCCCGTTCCCAGGATGTGCTCCCAGCAGGACCCTCAGAACGCGCATCCCATCTCTCTGTCACTGTGCCTTGGTCCAGCACCCACTGACCCGGAGGCTGCAGGGGCATGGGAGGGGACAGGGGACCCTGATCAGTCAGAGCAAGTGGTGCTGCTCCATCACAGCCCAGCTGGGCTGGGACAGCCGCCACGCAGAGCACAGGTGTGAAACGGTATGGGCAGCCCTGGGCTGCGAGCACCTCTGCTGCTGCTAGCCCAGACACCGGAAGGATAAGCAAGGGGACACCTGGGTGGCAGCAGGGACATGTCCAGGTGGCAGGAAAAGAGAAACAGGGGAGGGGAGGGGAGGGGAG